AAGGGAAAAATGTACCAAAAGGATGCGGGGCCGACCAAACAAAGAGGGGCACATGGAACAGTAACTCTTTGAGTAGAAAGTAAATTGGGTTGGAGGGGCGAGAGTGGGTTTTTCGTTCAGGAGGACGTAAAGAAATGACTTTTTCAAAACGCCGGCTGCTGATAATGATGCCCGGGAACTTTTGACTCGGGCGTTCATCCCACTCCCTCCCCGCCTTTTAGATTTTTTTCTGTGGGTTTTAAACAAAGATCAACATCGGGGCACAGGATAGTAACACAAAAGTCTCCGTTTTTTTAACTCAAGTCAAGCCAAAAAGACCCGCCATTGCAAAGGCTCGTAGCACCGCGGGGGACCCTGAAATAGTTTGGGTATATTTTTAACTCAAAAAATTTCCCGGGGAAATTTTTTTCCCCTTTAGCTACTTTTCATTTCCGACCCCAAAGGGGATTTTTTTGGCGAAAGAATAGGGGAGCCGATTCCTTCCAAAAACCAGGGGAATTTTAAAGTCCAAGTCCACGTGAAAAGATCTTACCCCTTTACAGGGTTTGCCCCGGAACCTCTACACCCAAAGCGGACACCATCCCTCGAAACCACGCACCCCCCTATATTTTTTTGGGTACCTTCAGCAATATTTCCGGGCTGTGGGTATCTATACGAGCGATCCGGTGGGTGTGGGGAGCCAGGATCTTTTTTTGGAGGGGTCCTCGTTACAATTTATAGGCAAAAAACCATGCTTCCAAATAAATACGTGACAACAGGGGTATTCGATAGGGCCACATTGTGATGCTGAAGGGTAACTTCAAAACTGTTAGGGACGTCTTTTTTGATAAAATTCTGTTAAGCGATTTAAAGGGATTACGAAGTATTATGCAATTGTTTAGATACTGAAGGGAAAAAGCAGAGATGAGGGATCTGCGGCCTGGTCGGTTGAAAGAACGCATGTGAAAAGGGGGTTTTTTGCGAAAATAGCACTAACCGGGGGGGGGGTGGGGCGGGGGGGGTAATGTACCAACACAGAATGGTTACCGTCAGCGGCTACAAGCTTTTGAGATACAATCAGATGAAGATCCGAACATGGATGTGCAGTGAGAAACCTGTTGACCTAAATAAATAAATATAGTTACAGATATTTTTTATCTAATTTTAGTGTATGTATGTCTGTATGTATTCTGTCTGTATCGAAGTAGTATTTAAGTATGTTTTTATATATATAAGCTTTTATGTACGTACGTTCGTCTCGTACGTTCGACGTGCCTATTTAGGTATGTATTTATGTCTCTATCTATGTATTGTATGTTATAGTTCTGTATCTAAGTATCTAATGTTAGTGAGTTCTCTTTTTTCATGTTCTAGTGATTATGATATTTAATGTGCGTTTTTGCGTGATTTTTTAAGCGGGCGTTTGCGCGTCGCGTTTATCGTACGGGCGGGAGCTGCGGGCTTTTTAAATTTGGGGGTATTTTTAGGGGTTTGTGGTTTTTATGTATGTATTTCTTCTTGCTTTTTTTGTATGGATGTATGTTTGTATGATTAATGTATGATGTTTGTATTAGATATGTAGTATGTATGTATGTAAGTTTGTATGTATGTATGTATTTATGTATGTTCTATGTATGTACTGTATGTTTGTATGTATGGGGTAGTTAATGTATTGTATTTGTATGTAGTATGTATGTATGTATGTATTGTATGTATGTATGTATGTACGTATCTTCGTCTATGTATGTATGTATGTATGTAGGTATGTATGTATGTATGTCTGTATGTATTATGTATGTATGTATGTATGTATGTATGTATGTATCGAATGGTATGTAGTATGTTATGTATGTATGTATGTATATTGTCTGTTTGTATGTATGTATGTATGTATGTGTATGTATGTATGTATGTATGTATGTATGTAATGCTATGTATGTATGTAGTAGGTATGTATGATGTATGTATGGTATGTATGTATGTTAGCGTCTGGATGTATGTATGTATGTATGTATGTATGTATGTATGTATGTATGTATGTAGCATGAGGTATGTATGTATGGATGTATGTATGTATGTTATGTATGTATGTATGTAGGTATGTATGTAGTATGTATGTATGTTTAATTATATTTTTAAATTTTTTTTGTTTGGATGTCACGGTGTTTTTTTTTATTTTTGTTTGTTTGTATTAAAGTTTGTACGTAGTATGTATGATGTAATTGTATTGTATTGTCTGATAGTAGTATTGTATGTAATGTTATGTAGGTATGTATGTATGTATGTAGTATGTATGTACAGAACGATGCAGTGACGTGGTATTCTAGATACTTACTACTAATGCTGCTGCCGCTGTCTTCTGCTGCTGCTACTACTACTGCTATTACTACTACTACTAGGACTACTGCTGCTGCTCCTACTACTACTACTTACTACTGCTACCACCACCAATTGAAGCTAGCTGCAACAACAACCGCACCCCCAGAACAGAAGGGAAGAACCAGGAACACAGACAGAGACAGAAAACAAGAAAAAACAGAAAAACAACACAAATTTTTATTCATACGGTCTTATGCCAGTTTTAATAAAAAGTCTAATCTATGTGTAGTATATAGTGGGAAAGCACACACCTATCAGTGCCAGAGTCAGCATATCTCGTCCTAGTGATGATTGCTGACCTTGCTGCCGGATCTCACACCGTTGTGTGGGGTTATTGCTTGAT